TTACCGCAAAAAGCCTTTCGACTCAAGCAGCACGGCATTCACAAACCGTATTACATCAAGATCTGTGACCTTGACGCTACGACCCCTCTGATCTTTGAGCGCCGGACGAATACCGTCCCAGGCTAGAGTACCGACCGTAGAATTCTACTTTTCGTGGCTCTCTCTCATTCCGTTTTTCACCACCTACCACACTGTCGCGTACAATGTTTCGACTTGTCAGAGCAATTTTGTCTTCACAACTGTTTATCACAATGTGATGGTTGACATTTGACATCTTCACAAGCATCCGCCTTTCTCCGCAGCCGTCCCGCTCTCTCTCATTGTAAGTAGCATGACGAATGCACCCTCGATCCCCGAAGGGCACGAATGGAGATGGCACTGGCGGACAGATGACCAGGGCAACTGGTCAAAGCATGGTTCATCGCCGCGCTGGAACGGTTGACTCGTGTCAGCACCCGTGACTCCTCACAACAACAACCCACCACCAGCACATCGTCAGCAGGAGACAGTGGCGACAGAACATCCAGCTCCTGTCCTACACAAAGAAACGATCCTGCACACCTTGAACGTGCACGTAATTCAAAAGCATGCTTTGCCAATGTTGTTGCCCAACATCTCACAATTACCGACAGCCAAGCCAGCCGGCCGCATGACAAGTTACTTGGTTTTGGAAGTAAAGCAGTTGCAGCCAGCGTCATTGTTCTACACGCACCCCAGACAAGGGGCTCTGTGTGTGTGCACGTCTCTCGTACATGAGATAGGGGGTTCACACCCGTTTTGCTTGCTCAAACTTGCAGTTTCGCTTTCATCCAGGAACACGTTTGCAAGAGTGCAGTTTGTTTTCAGCATATTGTCAGCAGGGGGGCAAGGGCTCCAGTGACAAGCTTTGCCCAACGAAGCCAAGTCACTGGAGTGGATGCAATGGCTGATCACCACGGTGTACCTGCATTCGGATTAGCCCGTGGGCCCCCTGTGGCACTGGAGCAACCTACGTTACAGTGGAAGCCTGCACGTTTGCTGCAATTTGTTTCTGCACACTGGCTCCATGTACATGACCCACATGACACCACATTACAACATGCACTGAAACAGCAGCTAGCGTAACGTGCCTCGTGGACAGCCATCCGTGAGTGCAGACAACACTCTCTCAGTGTGTAACAATCGTCAAAATTGCGGTGGAAAGGGGAACGGTTGGTCGAGCTGCGGTATTTTAGAACGTTTTAATGCTTGAGTTCAGAATAAAAAGAAACCGAGTCAGCATGTCTGCTTCTTGAGTGCAGGATCTGATCATGCAAGCATCTGGCTCAACTCTGGGACTCGGCTTCTGGATGACCGCCGGTCCATGACTTGGCTCAGTATTTTGCACTGAAATACCCTGCATTTGCCTGGTGGATTCTTGTGTCCACAAGGCTGGCTCAGCTCGTGCATGTGGTCATGAAGATCTACCTTAGACCGTTGACGGCTTAGCATCACGTCTAGAAGGGGATTCATGAGCTCTTATCTGAAGGGTCCCACCCAAACATTGCCGAGGCCTGAATCCAAATCGCGGAAGGAGTGCACAAAGCACAGCTGAGGGTTCGCAGAGGTTGTAAGTCAAATTGCATAGCAGGACGATGTGGAAATTGACTTGAACCCGGATGAGCTGATTGAAAGTGTCCGAAAAAAGATTCAGGCAATCGTGCTGTTGTCGTAAAATTGTTCATGGTAAAGATGATTGCTGCTTTAGGAGAAGAAAGGCTTGGACTGCTACAAGTGCTTGGCTGAGATGGATTGGAGCAACCATTCTCGACTCTCACTGCCGGGGCGTATCTACAATGTTAAGTTTATTCCCAGGCTGAAGTACCAGGGCAAGAGTCTTAAAGATGACGAGACACTTCGACAGCACAAGGTGGAAGAAGGCACGGCACGTGTCGACGGTTTTGGTGTTGATTTTGCGGCTGCTAGCTTCTACGCAGGCGAAACAATCTACACAGAGCCGGAGTTCCATGGCCAGTACTTGCCCATGGGAGTCTGATTCCGAGATGTGCAGAGCAGCCGGAGGGCAGTCAGGCTCGGACGGGACCGAATAAGTTGGATGTACTGCGCAAGGTGCAGCCGTCTATGGAGAAAAGGAAAGCCGAGGAGGACCTGTCAGCGCAGGAGACGTTGCTCTCTTGAGGTTTCGTTTCGTTAGGAGTTGGACAAGGTTGCAGAGCTGGCGCCAGAGGCAATTCGTTGGACTGCACTCTCAACGATTTTCTGTGGAGTTCTGTGGGGACAGGTCAAGAAGGCGGCGACTGTCGCCGCGGCCGAGAACATCACGGAAGCCGAGGCATTGGAAGAGTGTCACGTCTTCGGTTTCTCGTGCTGAAGCCGCAACGGTATAGCTTGCAACAAAGTTTTATGACGTCAGAAGCAACGGTAGCAGAGAGCCTTCAGCCCTATGTCTACACTTGCAAGCCTCCGGCTGTTTTCTCCTGTGCTGCAGTTGAGTAAGGTCGCATGGTGTGGCATTCGTGCCGGCGCATATGGTGAGAAGGGCATGCGACGACAGATGGAGGACACCGGCAGTCTTGTTCGAGTTGTTGTGCGTCTTCCAAGCATAGGACGAAACCGTGATATGTGCGTCGCTTTCTGATCTGCGCCGAACTTGGATCGTTGGCCATGCATGCGCAGCTTGTTTGCCGAATTGGCCTTGCACGGTTGTTCTGTATGGAGGGTGCCGCAACTTCCCCAAGAGCGCAATTTTGCGCTTTTTGGGCTGTTCGATGGGCACGGTGGCAAGCAGGCGTTGTGTTTCCTGGCTATTTGTCAAAGCCTCTCAGGCATGTGAGCCCTGTTTTCGGCAGGTGGCGGAATTTGTTCGGACTTATTTAGCTCCAGAGCTCCGCCCTCAGAGTGCTTCGGCCGGATGAAGCGAGACTTGTGACACTGCAAGGCTGGCCAGTGCTTATGCCAATGATGAGCCCAAGCAGGGTCGACGCTCAGTGAAGTTCTGTTGAAGACGGAGTTGTCGCTCAATGTCTCTTCAGGTCCGATCGCGGACAAAAGGCTCATGAAGGTAACGGAGGTGTCCGCCGGTTCGCTGAAGAAAACAGTTGTTGGTAGATCCCCAATGCAGGCTGTGTTTCAGCGAATGGATGCACGGATTGCAACCGAGCTTGCAGGCCTTATTAGAATGGAATGATGCAGTTGCAGATCACACTGTGCACGCTATGTTGGACAGGTGCTTATGACGGATGCACGGCAAACGTTGTCTCGGACCTAGGACTTGGTCGGGATTATCAGCAGGCTCTGAGGCCCCGGTCTAGCTCGCTGCTTGAACTGCAGGTGTTGGCAAACGCGGAAAAAATGATTTCCATCAACCTTGGCGATAGTGTCTCGGCAATGAGTAGCAACAAACTGGCTGTTCTTGTGATAAGCTCGACAGCTCTTCGTGTTGCAGGCATGGCCTATCTGTGTCGTCGCAAGGACGTCGATGACCAGGAGGACTGAAAGCTTCGTAACGGAGCAGCAAGGAATCACGCTGATGCACCTTGCGAAGTCAGCTGATGTTTGAGGCTCCCTGGTTCATGCTGTATGGAACCGTCAGGACACTCTTTGCATCCCATTGCAGCAGCGGCAGCACAAGCATCAAAGCCGCAGTTGTGAGTCATGTAGAGATGCCTCAGTTCGTAATGCCGCTTGAGGGCGTGTGGCGCGGAGAGCTAGCCGGACAGTCACGACGAATGAGGTGCTGGATGATGAAGGAGAAAGAGCGCATCTTGAGGCCGATACCTCTTTTCAAAGTGCTGCCTCGCCATGGATGTTTCTGAAAGTCTGAAAGTCCACAAGTGCTAAGGTCCGGCGGAGCTGTGGAGAACGGCCGCATCAACGGCATCCTCGAGGCCTCGGCGAGTGGATGGATTTCAGTGGGCCAGTTCACAGCAGCGAGGTTTCTCGTGCCTTCGGCGATTTGACGCTGAAGAAGTTCGGAGTGCTGTGTACGTACGGAGCTTCAAAAGAGAGGAAGTCGGTGTTGCAGTGTTGGGGCTCGACCGAGGCCTGAGTACATGAAGTTCCAGATGGACAGAGAGAAGGACACAGTCGCTTACCGGGAGACTTGAGCACGGTACTAGTAGCTTGGCTTGGCTTGTCTGCAGCTGCACAGGATCGCTTCGTCATTCTAGCTTGCGATGGTATCTCGGCCGTACTACGGTGTTAAGACGTATGCTGCCGATGACACCCATTGCTTCCAGGTTTTTGGAATGCATGGACAGCTGCAGAAGCGCTGGAGTACACCCACGGCCTTGTGACCAACGAAGAGGGTGGGAAGCCAAGCCAAGACTTGGGCGTGGCTGGCACGCATCCGGACAATGTCTTTCGCTTCCAGGTCGTGCTGAGCTCGAAGGAGATTCAATCGATATTCGAGGTGTTTGCAAGGACCGGAACGAAAGCGCACGTTCTTTGCAGCTGCTTCATGCCGCACAACAGGAGCTGGTTCAACACGTTATCGAAGAGAGGAAGGCTCAGGCCAGCTTCTCTCAGGTTTTTTGCACTCCTATGTCCCGACCCTAGAGTTCACCCGTACAGGACAACGTGAGCGTCGTTGTCTTGCATATCATGCCGCAGGCTGGGCCGCGACCAATTTGCCATTTTTCCACGAAGAGTTTAGGTAATTGTCAACCTCGCAGCCCATCGTGTCAACACTGTTGGTCCGCCCAAGACGTCCGGCAATCCAACTTAAGCCTTCCTCTGTCAGGCAGACTGATCTGCTTGCAGCAAGTCCCCCGAGCGCTCGAGGACGAAAAAAGCGCTTGCATTGCTGTGCCCTTGTAGGAGCACAGCCAGACAGCCTGGCTGGTCTTATCAGTTTGTGTTGTTGGTGATGCGCGACTTGCTGCGGAGGTTTTGCTTAAAGGACCCGTTTAGTAGGGCCGTCTTTCTTTCGTGAGGTTCGCCTGGCCCTTGGATAATGTTGGCCTTGGAAAGCTTTGTATGGCTTGGTCCAGTTTTCAGTTTTTTCAGGTGTTCTTGTGAACATGGACCGGAAGCGACGCCGTCTTGATAGATGGATGCTTCTCGCACTTTGGTGTTCATAGTCTTGCAGCATCCAGTTGCTCAGCTCGTGTCTTCCGAGGCAGCTGCAGCTGTCAGTGCAGATGCCTCGGGCTGCATCAATGGCCGATTGTCAGCATCGCCTTAGCCTGATTTCGGCCCTGTGATGAGGCATTTCCCGCGTTGTCATGCACCAGGTCGTGTTTCAGGGCAAGCCGCTTTGTTCAATGCCTGGGGTGTTGGCACAGGCTTGCTGCGAGAAGCTTGGCGCTGGTTTCGGCAGATGCTGCGCAGGAAGGGAAGGGAAAGATCGCCGCACGGATGGGTGGCGGCGTGGCCTGTCCAGGACTCGCAGCCTGCCGAGGCAGCGGCCAGCGCGCCGAGCGCGCCGAGCGCGCCGAGCGAACAGAGCGCCGTCGCCAACGTCTTGGGCTCCTGGCCTCAGCGCACGTCGCTGTGCTTCGCTGCGCTTTGCCTCTGAGCTCACCGCGTCTCGAGTGGAGGCACTGTGGAGGCGAGTCTGCAGAGCGTCCGGGAACAAGTGGCCCACAGCCCAGCAAAGCCCAGCTCCTTTCCGGTGCTGTAGCGACTGTTTCAGTTTCCCTACAGGCGGCTGGTCATGTGATGCCTAAATATGGCGAGTATGCCCAGTCTGTCCAATCCTGAGACTCCGGCAGAGTCCAGGCATAATTCGAGTATTGGACCCGTTTGTGTTTTTGCAAAAAGCTCAGGTCTTGGACTCCGCTGTGAAGCAGGCGTGTTGCCTTCCGTTCCATTTTGACCACGGCAGGTTGTGTGCCCGAGAGGTTGGCTCTGGTGGTACAGAGATCGGGAGAAGTGTGGATGTCGCCATCTGAGCATGTCTATCTCTTGCGCTTGTGCGAAGTGTGCAAAGACGTGAAGTCTCGAGTATTTTGGTTCGAGCAGAACAGCCGCAGTGGGCCTCGGGCCCTGGAGAAGATGCGGCGGAGCAGTGTTGCAGTGGCCTTTCTGGCCTTGGGCCTCTGGGCATGCTCGCACCTGTGGGCCTGGGTGGCGCCGGGCCAGCCGAGCATGGCCGGAAGCGCAAGCTCCGGCGTGCGGCTCCGGCAACTCAGCCGAGTCCCACGAATGGCTCGGGGTGGAGAGGATCTTAGGGCATATGCGCAGAGTCTGCCGGTGCCTCCAGACTACACAGGGCCACCGTACCAAGGGCCGGCATCGGTGAATGATGCGTTCATTGATCACCTGCTGTCCCTCTACAAGCAACAGGGCAAGCTGCCCATGAAGTATGCATACTTGATGGCGCTTGATGTCATGGACATTTTGAAGCAAGAGAAAAGCCTTCAAAGAGTAGCAGTTCCGCCAGGCACGAAGATTACTGTGGTCGGTGACCTGCATGGTCAGTACTTCGACTTCGTCCATATGATTCAGGAGGTCTCGGGCAAGCCCAGCCCTCAAAATCCAATCCTTTTCAACGGGGACTTCGTGGACAGAGGGCCATGGTCGGTAGAGGTGCTGCTCTGCCTCTATGCCTTCAAGCTCCAACATCCTACAGCGGTCCACTTCAACCGTGGGAACCATGAGTCGGAGATGACAAACTATCAGTACGGCTTTGCCGGTGAGGTGCAGGTGAAGTACGAGAAGAAGCTGATGGAGCTCTTCAGCGAGACGTTTCGGTACCTCCCCTTGGCCCACGTCTTGGAGAACCAGGTCTTCGTCGCGCACGCCGGCCTTCCCGGCCCCGAGGAGCGGCTCTGGGAAGAGTGGATGCAGAAGGCCCCGGACGAGGCCGCGGGGGTCCTGAAGCGCGAGAAGCAGATCACCCTCGCAGAGATCGAGGCCACGAACCGAGTCTGCGAGCCCAATCCCATGGAGTTCCCGCTGGTCATCGACTTCCTTTGGTCAGATCCTAAGGGGGCCAACGGCTACGGCCCCTCCACGCGAGTCCCCATGGTTTACACTTTCGGACCGGATGTGGCCCAAAGGTTCCTTGCTGCTAACAACCTCAAGTACATGCTTCGATCACACGAAACAAAATCCGCGGGTTATCAAGAGACGATCCCGAATGTGGTCACAGTCTTTAGTGCTCCAAACTACATTGACCGAGCGGGCAACTTGGCGGCAGTGGCTGTTCTCACCAACCAGGGTGGGAACCTTGAGAAGCAGTTTGTGCAGTTCCAGCATCAGCCACATCCCGACATTGAAAGCGGTGCCTACATGAAGGGCAAGTCCCTGGCACCTGCGTGATCATCTGATTGACGTTCCATCCAAGACGTCCGGTTTCAATGGACGCAGTGACACAGTGGTCTGAGATCTTTGTTCTGCAGTAGAGTAGGTCAACCAACCAGAGACAAGTTTCTCCACAGCTGATTTAATTGTGTTAGTAATCAATGCGTTGCCCGAGTGGTCATCACCCGACCAGTTCACAAATGCTTTCTGTAGCAGTGAAAACTATCACCTCGCATGATCGCAATGTGGCAGTTTCGATCCAAGATGTGATGTGAGAGCTGCCAGCAGTTTCCTTTTCAACTAGTAACTAGTTTGACTGGAGTCAAGGCCATGTTGCAGAACCTTTTCCTGCAGCAGCTGGCATGGCACTTGGAAGCCGCAGCAGTCTGGGCAACTTGCTTGCGTGAAGAAGAACTGCTGCTACACCTGCTGCAGGTGTTGTTGCGGCAGCAGACTGCGGCCAAATTCCTCAAAGCCTCCCGTGGGCTGCCAAGCCACTCACAGAAGCTCTCGAAGGTTTTGCTCTGGTGGGCTCAGGACCGGCTGAGGCTGTTTCCCAGGCAGATCAGCAGTTCGTCTCCCAGGCGCAGCATGCGCTTCCGTGCAGTTGGGAGAAGGAGTTTTGAGAGCGCTTTCAAGTCGTTGTCTTTGCAGGCCGAGGAGCTGAAGAGACCGGGCAGTTCTTGGAGCTACAGCGAGGCGTTGAACTCTCTTCTGGCATTTAGGTTTGCGCCGCCACTGTCGCGGCAGGACCGCTATGCTTTGAGAGCTGTCCTCGAGGGCAGCTATAGACGAGATGCTGCGCAGTACTTACAATGAGGCTTTACGGTGGAAGCGGGCCCAGAGTCTGAAGTGCCGCACAACCCTGAGGCTTTTAGAGATGAGGAGGCGGAGGCTGCAAGCTGCTCAGCCCCGAAGCAGCACGGTGCAATTGGAGCATTCGCTCTGCCAAGGTGAAGTCTCAACAGAATACTGTTGAGATCATCAGCAGGCCTGGCAGCCTTGGGGCTGCGACGTAGCATGTAATCGATGTGCTAAAAAGAAGATACTTTCACAGACACACAGCACTGACAGACATGTACAGGTTGCAAAGCCAGATGGAGAACTTGCAGATGCGGTTGCAGCACATGCGTCTGTGCCTGAAAGCCTTGTGTGTTCGGGGCTTTGTTTCCACGTAGCAAAAAGCACCCAAGCCGCAGTCTTTAGTTTTTGCAAGAGAGGACTTGATGTGGAGGGTTGCCGGTTGTGCCGCTTTAGGTGCTGGCCAACCGTGGTTCTTGTCGAGCTCGTACAGGACTGGCACGGAGGAATGAAGTGCGCTAAAGTCCGAATCCATCGGGGCTCGTGGCAGGATTCCAGGAACGCCAGTGACCATGATCGGTCGCTTTCAGCAGGGTCGTGCGAGCATCGAGTTGAACCTCTCCCCAGACAGGCAAGACCCGCAGTCTCTTTCAAGTCGAGTGTGCTGTGACTCACACAAATTCAGGGACCCCGTGACCGCGGAAGCTGGATTTGTTCGAGGTGCCCATGCCTTGCAGCCCTCTTGGGGTTTTGACATCGCCAAGGAAGGCTTCTCATGAGTTCTTCAGCCCTCTGTGCGCCCCGACAGGTGTTGGACCGGCCAACCTGGGTGTGAGTGCCAATTTTGGCCTTTGAGGCTTTTGTACTTCAAGGCTTGTGGCGTGCCCGGCGAGGCGGTCCCAAGAAGTCTCACAACGTTACGGAGCTAAGCTTCGAAGCTGTAGACGTCCGGTGTCGCAAGCCGTTTCTGCAAGGTGTTGTTTCTGTCAGCAAAGAACGACCATCTGGCTGTAGCTGCAGCCAGCGTCACTGCGTGCATGTGCTGTGTGGTACTTTTGGTTGCGTCTCAATGTCGTTAACAACGTCTGCCGGCTGCTCACTCTTCGGTTTCGATTTCAGCGTTTTAGATAGCATCATGGTGGAAGACATGCCCCAGCTCAAACAGAATGAAAGAGCATGGATGGATGGTGCAGCGGTACATAATTCCTTGTGACTGAAGATCTTACGTAGCGCTTTACTTCGAACTAGTGTCGCCACCTAATTGTTTCCACAATCACAAATCCTTCACACTTTCAGTCTCCACAGCCCACCCACCAACAAAAGCCTCCAGCTCCGGAAGACAACCTAATGACTGCTACTCCTTGACACCCTTGGAATGTCAGAGACGCCGGCATCTGAACCCCCAGAGGGGCAAGGCAGGAAGCTGAGTTTCCACATCCAAAGGATATCCGTTGCAGTTAATGTTCTTTTGTTTATGTTCTTCTTGTAGCGATAGGCGTATGGGGTAGGACACGGAGCAGCAGCAACAGCAGCAACAGCAGCAACAACAGCAACAGCAGCAGCAGCAGCAGCAGCAGCTAGCTGCTGCTGCTGCGGCAGTAGCAGTGACAGTGGCGATGTGTTTATCACCCCGCTCACTGCCGGCATGGGTGCCGAAGCAAGTTTCTATAGCCTAATCATGTTACGATTGGCAAAACATTTGAACCGTTGTAGTAAGTACAGTTGTGACACTAAAGTCTGCTGTTGATTTCCGTGAGAGAGAAGCATAGATAGATAAGCAACCATCAGTGAACCTCGACAGAAAACCAGATGGATACGACCAACATATGCATCTTCCCCAGGTCCAGACGATGGAGCTGGCGGGGGCAAGGGAAACAAAAGGACCTGCAGTGAGCTGCGAGAGCTGCGAGTCTCTGATGTGACAGCACCTGATTGCCGAAGGAGGCGGAAAGGCTGGGTGAAACACGAAGAGTGTCCTGCGAGTGTCCTGCGACACCCTGGGAGCCTCAAGCGTCCTTGGCGAGGCGGTGATGGCGAGAAGCAATACGACCTGGCTTGGCGCCGAGTTTGAAGTTGTTAGCTCCGTGTGGAGTCACCGGCTGTCGTGAGGTGGGAACCATCAGGATGTTCAATGCAGACAAAGGTGGTCCCCTACAGCCACAAAGGGGCCTTTGAGCGTTCCACAGTATTGGGGGGCCTGAAAGTCTTGCACCCGCTTTCTGGAACATGTGTCTCACATTGACATGAACTGCGTACTGCGCTTTTCAACAGATCCGTCTGAAAGATCTATGCCATGCTGGAAGATCGAGCTGTCTGAGTCTGATCCGTGTTGTTTCCCCGAATGTGGAGGGCAGGATAAATCATCCCACCTTCCACTGGATGAATCTCGCTCCCTGTTTGTGCTGCCGCCTGATGATGAACTTGGCTTTCTTGCTTTTTGCAGGCTGGGGATTTATAGATGGTGACACCGGGGGCAAAGACATCTTCTTGCGCCTCGGCAGGTTTGATGATAGCTTGGTCAGCAAGACACACGTAGTTTCCCATGCTGTGTTGTATGTTCTTTGCTGCCACTGCTTTGCGAGTCAGTGCTTCTTGCTGTGCCGCATCGCAGGCATGCCAAACATTTTGTGTCAGACCGGCCTGTTGGCATGTGATGTGCGGTTGCTGTTGTTTTCTTGCCTCGGACACGCCAGGGGCAAGCCGCCAAATTATTGGATAGGCCGGCGCCTCGTTTATCGAGGCTGTCAGGTGTGTTCAATGGTCTCTCCAGTCTTTCTGTATGATTCCGGCTTGAGCACGAAGTGTTGCCAAGGCCACAAAATGCAAACGAAGGCGCTTTCCAGCATGTGCTTGCTGTCTTGTGGTGCATTGCAGCGGTTTGTCCAGGATAAGCATGTCGTCTGGATCTTAGCACTTCGTGGTTGCTGCTGGCTGCTTCGACCGGCAAAGGAGGTTTTCGCAGCTTTCGAGATGTGCCGGAGGCCCCAAAAGTGGCGGAGGGGCCTGTCAGAGTCCTGCCTTTGGTCTCAGCATGAGCTGCAGAACGAACTGGAGTCCGGAGATGTCTGGGAACATCAATGCTTTGTCATACGACCGCTCAGGTTTGATATGTCCTTGACAAGCCAGGGGAAGCCTCAAGTGCCTGGGCAGCAAAGTCCCATCGCGGCTGGTAGAGTGTTGAAAGGCATGCACCTCCATGTTTCAGGCCTTGAACGTGCGGATAACCGGTGGCCACGAGGAGCCGGAGGCTGCCCAATCCTGCAACCTTCCCGCAACAGACTTGAAGCCCAAATTCCCCAAATCTGTGAGGATGATGACAGTGGAGCTGCCATGGTTGGCAAGTCCGGTAGGTGGGTGCTTATGCGACTTATGTGTGCCTGATGTGCCAGGCGAAGACAGGCCGAGGCATGAGACGGCAGCAGCATTGGCCCAGTTGTGCAACGACTTTTGTTTCAGGCGGTCGTCACCGTCCTGTGAGAACTGCGGTTCCACGATTGCTGCCAGGCTTGGCCTTTCTGTGGGCACCTCAGATGACTGCGAGCGCCTTCGCGGAGAAGGGATTCTCATCTGACGGAGGTTTGCATCCTTTGTGGCCATCCTGTGCCGAGTCGTGGCCGATAGCGATGCGGTGTAGGGAAATATCAATCTCTTTAGCATAGATAAGCAGGGTGCTCTAGGCGAAGTCTGGTATTCTGTTGAAAGCTTGGCATAAAACTGTAGATGGCTGGCAGAAGCCTCCACACTGCTAAAGACATGCGGGCAGCGAGAAAAGAAGCGGAGCACTTGGTTAGTGGGTCCATCGTTGCTTTCGGTCGTCTTCAGATCTGTTGTTGCTGTGCCACAGCGTTCGTGCTGGAGCAGCGATTTGCTAGAAAGATTGCCGCAGCAGCTGAGACAATTTCTGTTCCGGCCTCATCATCTTCACTATGTGCCGATGGTCATCATGGTTATCCGTTACGCATTGTTGAATTAGTGTGTGCAACCGAGATGCAGCCAGATTCAACCTGCTGACAGCGTTGTTCGAAGAGGGACGGCACACGGCTGGTAGTGCTTCGCGGCTTCGCCATGAAGTCATCCTTTCCGAGTTTAGACAAAAAGGCACGGGCCGGGCGGCCGGACGGCCGGGCAGTCTTCAGATGTCTTCCTGCTTTCTTGTTGCAGGTGCCGGAGAGCAAAAAGTGCCCGCAGCGTGGAGATCGCTTTCCGGGTGCTGTTGAGTTCCCCGAGGTATGCGCACATTGGCTCGTCTATTGACACTGGAGCTTCAGCCAAGAAGGAGAAGGCACGAGAGTGTCACGTGCTCCAACGAGAGCCTCCGTCTTCCTCTGTACAGATGCTTGCACCCACACTCTTGGCAGCTTCACTCAGCGAACGTCATGGCCAAGCGCAAGGATGAGGCCTGCAGACGGCATCGAAGAGTCGGGAGGAAGCAGCTATCTCGTTGGCAGATCTTCAAGCGCATTCGGGCTGGCACGCTGGTGCGAATGCTGCAAGACAGAGAGGCCAGGTTGGGCACAAGACCATGAGGTCCTTGAGTTTGAGGTCTGGGTGCAAATAAGACGGGTTGGAATGCGCTCGGGCAAGTTTGGGGGATACTTCAGCTCAAAATGGTCATAATGCCTTTGCATTCGTTGGTGCTCTGAAGCCAAAATGGTCGAGAAGGTCTCGGAGTCCGTCTACGCTCTCGGCCTTGAGCTGAACGTCCCTTCGGTCTGGGGCAAGCTCGGATGCTCAATCTGTGAGGTCCTGGCTCCGAGCATGGGGACCGCGCCAGCGCGTCCTCCGTGATGGCCTCCAAGGCGCCGCCGCTTTGCAATTTTGAGGGCTTCGAGGATGGGAGTCGCTTCGAGGCCGGGCCTGCGGCTCCCCCGATGAGCGTCGCCTCGGTGGGTTCTGTCGCAGGGTCCGGGGCCTCCGGCGGGGCCATCCGGTGTGCGCTTGGAATCCGTGCGCTCCCGCCATCGCTCACTGTCCCCAAGCGAGTCTTTTGCAGCAACTTGGGTAGATGGAGCATGTAGAGACAGGCAGTGAAGAAGACAGGCCAAGAGAGCTAAGCAGCTTCCCCCACCTTACCCACCTTTACAAGCAATCTTATCCAGTCGGGCTTTACGAGCATAACGCATGCTGGTACGTGTGTCGGATGGAGTGGCGAGAAGCTTGCGCCGAGCTGCATTTTGAGAAGTCCGTGCTGAAGCACGCGCTCTCCAAGCATGTCCACCACTTTGACTACCGCGATGGCATGCGTGCAAAAAGCGCAAGTGCGAGGGCAGGCAGGCCGTGTCCTGCGCAAGAGCCCCGGAGAAATCCGAGCCCTCGAATGATGGAAGATGCCCTTCGGGACATCTACGAGGAGCCACCAGCTCGACCCACGAAGCGATGGCCGGTATTGCTGGCTTTGGAGAGACGGCCCAGCGTCAAAGCCGAGCGGCCATGCTCTCGATGTTTTCGCAACTTTCAACGATTCATGGATAAGCACGTTGTCCTCGACAGTCCCGCCCTTGAGGATGTTCACGGCCATGAGTGGCCTTTCGAAGATGTTGCAACGAATCAAAAGCCATCCGAATCTCCCCGGCACGAAGAGACGAGTCCGTCTCCAGTTCAGACTTTCACTGGAACCGATCCTCAAGAAGAGGCATGGATGAGATGGCAGTTTCTGCAGCACATGCCAGACTACTTGGCTCTGATGCTCGAGCAGAAGGAATATCGGGACTTCGTAAGCAAAGCGCACCAGTCGCAACTCCTAAGTGCTCGGCGCCAGGTCATGGCCTCTGACCTCGCCATCCTGCTCCGCGTGCTCCCTATGTTCAATGGTGATCCCGGTGACAGCAGCGACATTGCGGAGGAGTTTGCCCATG